GATTAATTTATCAATAATAACATTAAATACATTTATCCTAAAATCGTCCCTAGTGTTAAATAGAGTTTCATTATCACTGGTTTCATCAAATTGTCGTTTCCGTTTCACTTTTCTGTTTTTATCTGCCGCATATTCTTTCTCACACAACAATTCTATGGCCCTTCTTTCATATTCCTAAAATGATTAGTATTATCTAGATTTCTAATTTCAGAAAAATATTTTTCCAATGAGCTATATAAATCTGCAGCAAGTTGTAGATCAATATCCACCATTTGTAGCTTTTTATTGAATGCACTTAATCTATTTAAAACATCTGTCCAAAATACCGCCATAAAACCCATTTCTAGGCTTTTGAATTGTTTAAGGAGACTAGAAGCATCTAATCGGGTTTTATGCTTTTCGGTACCGTCTTCAGAAATTGACTCCAACGTGGATTTTATTTCATTGGAAGACAAAGATAGTGATTGGCAAGCTTCATTTCGTGCAGACCAATGTGTTTTTGATAAATTTTTTAATGTTTTTGAATTTATTTTTTTATATTCGGAGGTATTTATGTATTTATTAACTGGATGCATGGCACAATGCAGTAAAAAATAACCCAAACGAATTATATATTTAAACAATAATAATAATTAAGTAAATAAATGTGTAATCGGCTAAAGCTATATTCAAAATATTTTATGAGCAAATAAAAGTTAAAAAAAAAAGATAAATATTTTGGTATGCTCAAAATCTGCCGCAACTAAAAATCTGCCGCCCCAGGCCCGGGCCTAGTTGGCCTAGGCCTAAGTCCGGCAATGAGGGTAAATCATTAGATATAACCAAAATAATAAGAAGCTAAATCGAAAAATGTGATAGAATAATATTAAGCAGAAGTATTCATTAAGCAGAAGTATTCACATTCAGAAAAGCATTCACTGAGTCAATCTCCGATAGTCCCATTGGTTTGAAAATAAATGGTATTCCAATTAATAATATCCGATATGCGGATGACCCAGTGATATTGGCAGACAATGCAAATGATCTCCAAATCCTTCTAAATAAGGTTAACAGTGAAAGTCAAAGACTGGGTTTAAACATAAATACTACAAAAACTAAATTTATGGCTGTTAGCAGAAACAACATTCCGAACACCAGAATTTACTTAAATGGAGAGGTCATCAAGCAGGTCACACAATTTAAATATTTGGGATGCATGGTTAACGAAACGTGGGATCCCGATCAGGAGATCAAATGCAGGATCGAACAAGCAAGATCTACTTTTCTGAGACTGCGAAGATTTCTCACAGATAGGAATTTGAACTTCGGCATTAGATACAGAATCTCTACAGAACTCTAGGGGGGATACCTGACAGTTCTGTTTGACGATTCATTTGACACATTTAAATTTGATTTGAATTTATACGAGTTTTTTACGTGTTTCTCAGTTTATTTTGTTATTTATTATTTGTTTTGTTTAATGTTCGTATATCTAGGATAAGAATACTGTGTTTAAACTTAACTTACATTTATTGTAAATTCATTTTTAAGTAAAAGTTACTATAAATGTAACATATTTTAAGACTAAAAAAGTATCGCCAAATTCACCAGGGACGTGCATATGGGTTATCACTGAAATATTTTTCTAAAAAAGCATGTACGCCACTGACTTTTTTCTCTTGTTAGCGAAATAGTGTAAGTAATTTAATGCTGATTAAAAAATAGCTCTTGATATTTTGTCGATTTCGGCCTCCTCGATGAGATAAACGCAATTTTATTAATTTGCCTTGATCCAAGTCTAGTAGCAATCTTTAAAAAATTAAATATTCATTAACTTGAGAAAGTTTTAAATATGTACTCATTGATTCCTCATCAAAAAATATGCAAAAAAGTTTCTATAAACATTGGTATGGAAATGCATAGTTTTAGAGTTACAGAATGTTAAAACTTTTTAAAATTAGTTTTTTTGTAATTATTTGAAATACCATAATTTTATTATGGTGTAGTAGTATGGTATACATATGGTCATAAAACATGAAATAGAATTTAAAACAGACAACAAAATTACGTTTCATACAAAATAATTTTAATTTGATTTAGAAAAATACATCCACATCAGTACCATAGCCTATTCATTAGACAGTAAGGGTGCATCCACATTATCCTAGAAAAACCGGATCGGCGTATCGGCGTAACGACCTTGAAACGAATTCCAGTAATTCTATTGGCTGAAAAATTCATCTGTCAAAAATTTCATTTGTCAAATTCATCTGTCAAAAATTTCAGCCAATAGAATTACTGGAAATCGTTTCAAGGTCGTTACGCCGATACGCCGATCCAAAGTTATTGCAAGACGCCGATCCACTTTTTCTAAGATAATGTGGATGCACCCTCAGTCATCTGCTGCGCCTGTTCTACACATGCAGGCACTCAGAGGACTAGTCTCGATAGTTTTTGACTGTTTAATGAATCGACTGTGTTAGTATCTACCTTAAGAACCGGTTAAAGTCGCGTTTACATTGTACTGTTAGAATAATTTCGCAACTAATCACAATCATAGTAATAATAATTATTATTTTAGGTTCGTTCAGTTTATCAAGAAGAAAGTATTAGTGAACCTTCTACCAGCCAAGCACTATAAGTACTAAAGCAAGACAAAACAAAGGTTCTGAGTCTTGTAATTTTGAAAATAAAACTGGCCAAAATGGCGTTTCAAGTCGAGCCTCAACCCCCACCACTTCTTTTCCATTAAACACTGATGATACACCTCGAAAAGTTTTTTTGAAAAGAAAGCTGAACGAAATGTATAAAATAGACAACATTAAATCTAAGAAAATAAAATCTCTTCAAAGAAAAAATTCAACTCAAAAGAAAAAGTTTGCTACCTTACGTGCAATAGTTACAGAACTTAAAAAAGATAAATCTATTATCTAAAAATTATAGTGAAACAATTCTACAAAAGTTTGGCAACAACAATGACCTTATTAAAAGATTGTTTCAAAAATCCACTAAAAAAACAGTAAATAGAACATATTCGCAATCCGAACGTTCCTTTGCTGTAACTTTGCATTTTTTTTCTCCAAAAGGCTACAATTTTGTTAGGAAAAAATTTATGAATAGTTACCACACTCTAAAACTTTGTCAAAGTTGTATGCCTCAATTAATGCCAAACCAGGATGTACATCATAAGCATTTGATGTGTTAAAACTTAAATCTGAGCATATGTTCACTCGTATTTGATGAAATGGCTATTCGTCAACATATATAATATGAAGGAAAAAATTATCATGGTTATGTTGATTTTGAGAAGTGGATTAGACCATGAGTATATGAATATCGCTAAAGAGGCTTTAGTATTCAAAGTGGTTGAGGTCAACGATGTTTGGAAGTTACCTGTTGGCTATGTTTTAGAAATGGCATAAATAGCGAACAAAAATCATTGCTAGTGACTCAATGTTTACTGAAGTTAAAAGACTACGGCATAATAGTATCTACCGTCACATTTGATGGCTGTCCTACCAATTTTACCAAGGTTGTCGTTTAAAACCTGATAATTTTAAAACAAAATTTGAAATTGATGGTCGAAATATTTATATCTTTCTAGATCCCTCGCACATGATAAAATTGGTAAGAAATACTTGGGGAGAAGAAAACATTATTGAGGGATTTAAATAAATTCAATCGATTTTAATTTTGTAAAAATAACTTAATTTACTACAAGAAAATGAAGGTCTTCATTTATGTAATAAATTAAGAAATCAAAATATATACTTTTTCAAGCAAAAAATGAAAGTAAAATTAGCTACTCAGCTACTGAGCTACTGATCTGCTCAGAAGCTCTTCTCTTTTGTAAAAATCAACTACAACTTGAAGAATTTCAAAATTGTGAAGCTACTGCAAAATTTATTAGTATAATGAATGATGCATTTGATATACGAGTATTAAACTCACGCAAATTAAATGAATGCGGTTTCAAACGGGCTTTTTGTGAAAAAAAATTAAAATTGTTGAAGAATGAGGATGGTATATGCATCCGTAACTCACAAAGAAAAATTGGGTTTTTAAGGCTTATTACTATATTTGGAATCATTAATGGGGATATACGATGACTTTATCAAAGGGGGTCTACTAAAATTTGTACCCGTATACAAATGCAGTCAGGACCACTTAGAGCTTTTTTTTGGCTCTGTGAGATCTCAAGGAGGATATAACAACAATCCCACTTGCAGGCAGTTTATGTCAGCTTATAAGAAATTAGTAATACATTATGAGATTCGGGAAGGTGGTATTGGCAACTGTATACCACTCGAACAGATAAGTATATTAAACGTCAATAATACACCAGAAAATCCGGAAGATATTATAAACGAAGAAAACATAATATATGGAGAAACAGATCTATATGAAGAGATAACATATTTTAACCTTGACCATCATGACTATGCTTTATACATAGAATATTTATCAGAATTTTCCAAAGAAGTGGTAGTATATCCCGGTATATAGCGGGATATGTTGTGTTTAAAAGCCCACCGAAGCCTGTCCCAAGCCAGGTTGTAAAATGGTGAGGGGGAGGAGTAACAACCTCGTTAAAAAACCAGGGCTCAGCTGACCCGGCTGACAGCACCCTGTTAGGGTCCCCTACCTAGGGTTACGGGTGAAGTCCTCAACAGTCGACCCGGCGGAGAAGGAGACCTTCAGAATAGTGGCGAGAGTGGAAGAGGCAACGCGCACCCTTTTGTCCATTAGTCTCAGACTAAAAAGGCGGACGAGTTGAACACTGACCAACGGCATAAGATCAGGAAAGTAATGGGAACCTGATTAGATTCCCATGAACACAACCGAAAATGCGCCGGTATAAGCAAATACCTTGATCTTCGGATTAAGTTAGGGCACTCTATTGTCCTGGGGATGAGAAATTGTTCTCGAAGGCGGATGAACCAAAACGTCTGGTCAACGGCATTGGAATCAGGAAGGCAACGGGAAACCACCTGATTATGTTTCCCAAGAGAGCAATGGAAATGGCAAATAGGAATGAGAGGTTGTCATGCGACCCGGATGACGACCGGCGCTGTCTCGCGTCTAGGGCGAGCAGTGTGAAATTGGCGACAGGGCACGTAGATGTGGATCTCTGGGCATCGCGTGTGAAATGTACTACCAGAAGTCATGGTCATGTTCGAGGAAGAGAAGTGATGCCAGCTAGAAATCAAATGCAGATTGCCACATGGAACATCCGAGGTGCAAAACAAGTAGGCAAGTTGAAAATCATCCTAAACGAAATTTCTAGGTGCACTGTTAATATTTGCGGGTTGTCCGAAACACATTGGAAAGGCAACGGTCATTATAAAAGTGAGAATTACACTATATACTACTCAGGACAAGAAGACGGGAGCAGCAATGGTGTTGCTTTTGCTGTGTCAGACAAAATAAACAAATATGTAGTCGGCTACGAGGCAGTAAGCTCACGAATTATAACAATGCGTTTAAGCTGCAAACCGTGCAATCTGAATCTTATACAAATACATGCTCCAACTACAGATGCAGATGATGGTGAGATAGAAGGGTTTTATACCTCATTAGAAACAGTTTTTTCTCGTTTTTCATCTAAAGAAGTTACAATAATTATGGGAGATTTTAATTCAAAAATCGGCGAAACAATACAGGACAATCATATACGCAGCACGGTTGGCAAGTACGGGTTGGGAATACGTAATGAAAGAGGAGAAAGGTTAATACAGTTCTGCCTGGATAATAATTTATCTATCTGTAACTCTCTTTTTCAACAACGCCGCCTCTATACATGGACATCTCCAAATGGTATACACAGAAATCAAATTGATTACATTCTTATTAAAAACCGTTGGAGGAGTTCAATTCTGTCAACCAAAACACTACCCGAAGCTGATTGTGGATCCGATCATCAACTTCTGCAATCAACATTTCGATTGAAACTAAAAGTACCCAATAGGAAAGTAACCCGTGTCGTGCCACCACTGATAAACAACGAGGCTTTTCGTGAAAGGCTAGAAAATGAACTAAATAATCAACAATCGGTTACTAGCAGCATACAAACCTCTACATAAATGTGGGACAATTTTAAAAACATAACGTTAGATATCATAAACGAAACCCAACCAAAGGCAACACGCAACAAACAACATTGGATCTCAGAAGGTACCTTACTACTTATCGAAGAAAGACGCAGACTGAAAACAAAAGGTCTAAAGAATTATGAGGACTCTGAATCATTTAACCTCCTTTCTAGATCTATTCAAAGAGAATGTCGCAGAGATAAAAATAATTTTTATAACAACATTTGTTCCGAAATACAAACACATGCAAACACCTTAGAGACAAGAGATTTGTTCTCCAAAATAAAGCAAATTACGCGTAAGTTTGCTCCAAGAACATGGGCAATTCACGATGCTGACACCCAGCTTTTGACAGAAATTGAAAAAGTAATCGAGAGATGGAGGAAATACTGCGAAGAGTTATATACTGACGCGACCTATATACCAGCCGTCCAAAACACGATTACAGAAGAACCAGAACCAGACATCCTACTTTCTGAAGTAGAAGCAGCTATTCGAAATCTCGGCCTACGAAAATCTCCAGGTATCGAGAAAATAACAGCAGAATATATAACCAGTATGGGTCCCACTGGTATAAGATTACTTCACGAACTTTGTCAAACTATTTGGCACACAGGACATTGGCCAAGTGACTGGTACACTTCCGTAATCATCCCGCTACACAAAAAGGCACCACAAAGATTGCAATAATTACAGACTGATTGCACTACTCTCCCATGGCAGCAAAATTATGCTATACATACTCAAGCAAAGGCTATCGAACTACATAACTTGGCAACTTGCACCCGAACAAGCCGGCTTTGTGAAGGAGAGAGGAACTCGAGAGCAAATACTAAACCTTCGCCAGCTAATAGAAAAATCTCGAGAATACTACACGCCTATGTATTTATGCTTTGTGGATTACGAAACGGCCTTCGATAACGTATGTTGGGGACAATTATGGAGTATAATGTCTGAAATGGGAGTACCACAACATCTTGTAGAGATAATAAAAGGTCTATACGATAGCAACCAAGCAGTCGTGAAGTTGGATGGAAGTATTTCCGATATCTGTTAAATAAGAAAAGGAGTACGTCAGGGGTGCGTGTTGTCCCCGATGCTGTTTAACATTTACAGCGAATACATTATGAGGATTGTGCTAGAAAAATGGACAAGGGGTGTATCATTGAATGGCTACAAGATATTAAACCTACGTTTTGCTGATGACACGGTATTGGTAACCGCCAACCAGCTGGAACTGAGGACAATTCTAACAAGATTGGAAACTACCAGTAGAGAGTTCGGGCTTTGCATCAATTACAGAAAGACTAAGGTGATGATCGTAGATCGCGAAAACAACAACTGCCCAGACATCACAAACATAGATCGCTGCGAAGTTTTGCAACAATTTATTTATTTAGGTGCACTTATATATAATACCGGTAGTTGCGAAATGGAAATACGCCGCAGAATTCAACTGGGCCGTAACGCTATGACGCAGCTCACGAAAGTTTGGTCGAATAGTCACATAACACAATCGACAAAAATCAATCTTGTAAATAGTCTTGTCTTTCCGGTTATGTTTTATGCTTCTGAGACATGGACACTGTTGGCAGCCGACAGACGACGCATTGACGCCTTCGAGATTTGGTGCTGGAGGAGGATGTTGCGAATACCATGGACAGCACATCGCACCAATGTATCGGTCCTTAATGCTATCCAATTATCACAAAGACTTTCCAGCACTGTCTATAAACGCATCCTTTCCTTTTTCGGTCACGTCAACAGGAGCGGGCATATGGAGAGACTCGTAGTGCAGGGAAGACCTGCAGGATCCCGCTGCCGAGGAAGATCGCCAACCAGGTGGGTGGACATGGTTGAAAAACTTATGAATACCAACCTGGAGGGTGCCGTTCGAAGAACTGAAAACAGAGAAAATTGGAGACGGGCGGTGCGTGCGGCCATCAGGTCCTTAGAGCCAGAACCAGAGCCACTACACGTCGTACGCGACGTACGGACTTAGACGACGACGTTGTGTTTAAATTAAAAAATAAAATTAGATGTGAACATTGCCTTGGTACCCTTTTCGGTTCAAAAGAAAATTTTCAAACTCCTTTTTGGATATCAAAAATAGAGGTGCTCTCAGCTCAAGGTCTCAGCTATCCCCATGATGATGTTATTAAGGTGTGTTTACAAACTGAAAAAATCATTCGAAGGGAACAATTACAAGCAACTAAAATTTATAAAGACTATATCTGCTTTAAAGTTTTGTACTGGTTAATGAATCATTCTCTGTTTGAATTTGTAAAACCCCACGATAATTCTTTCCTAAAAAATCACAGATTACTTTTAATCAAAAGCATTTTAAATTATTATATAAACCAGGATACATTTCACCTGCAAGAAATATAATCGGTGTGATGAGAGTTACGTTTCAGTCTCAGAAAAATGTATTGTTGCGGACCGGTGTGGACTCGACCTAATCGGAATGGAGTAGTACATACGAGAACAATCGAAACCTTCTCTATGCACCTAACGATCTCTGGACTATTCTAGAGACCTTTAGCTGTCGGTATAAAAGCCGGCGGCTATGGCCTAGAGAGGGCAGTTATAAATAGACAAGCACAGTTGACGCGTTAAATTCAAAATAAATTCTTAGTTATAAATCGTTTGTAAATAGTTCTTTAAGTCTTTTATCGTTATTGTTTTTGTTAATTAGTGTTAAATAAATAGTGTTTAAATAAATTGTGACTTTCTGTCCACACGGAACCGACGAAAAACGTAACAGTATTTTAAAAAAACACAAATTTTGGAATAAACTTAATTTATTTTACGGAACAGCAATCGAATGTTACAGGTACAATAGCTAGACTAAAACTAAAATCTACATTGATTTATGAAGAAACCTCTTCTTATGGCAAACTGCTGCATTGCAGGTTCCCAGGCAAAAGTGCAGGTGCATCCTGCCGGTGTCGTCCGTGAGAAGTCTATCTGTGTATTTCGACTGTCATAACTCCTCCCTCCTTAAGATAAAAAGATATTTCCAATATCTTTTTGGCAAGAGTCATTGATTGATTCTTCTTTGGGGGTTGGCGGTTTCTTAAACTTCTATAAAAACTCCTAATAAAATAAAAACAGACATTAAAATCAATGAGGAATTATTGATTAATTCGTGTTGTATTGGCAATATCGGCTGCAATTGACTGGCCATACTTCTTATTTCGTAAATATTTTCAAAATTTTATTTGCTAATATTGATAGATTCAAGTAATTTATTCTGTGTTATTTGTTCGAAATTTAAGGCTGGTAGTATTAAAGGTTTTCCTTTACGGATTTGTCGATTATTAAAATATTTTTTATTATTGATTTCTACTTAACAATTTTGGAAATTTGCAATAAAGTAGGTTTATTAATTTCGAGAAATTGATCTATCTTGCATCGGGAAAATATTTTTTCTTTCTTCATTGGAATAATTAAAACTTATCTGTTCTTTATGTTGACTAGGTCGCAGTTTTCGGATGATTGATTGGATATCATTTGAAGAGTACATTCATCTGGTGGGTGGAAATTTTCTGTGCAGTAGAATGTGTCTTCTAGGGATGGACAAACGTCTTCTTCGAATTGAGTGGTTGAATCTTCTTGAGCCAAATAAGGATATTTGGGAATAAAAGCTTGGTGATTTTGAATTATAGGGTATAAATGGTAAAAACTTAAGGTTTTAGTTTCGACTATTGGTACGTGTATTTCAAATATTACTTTCGAATCAGAAAAGGTAACTTGTGTCCCAAAAATTTGATAATGGGATATAATATTATTAAATTTTGGAATTTGTTTTACGTCATAGATCGTTTTTAAGTACCTTATCATTTTCTATAGCGCTGAACTTGGTAATATGGAATTGTGCAAAGTGTTTATGTTAGATGATAAGAATTTTTATAATTTATATCAAGATGTTAAAAATCACCGTTGTCATCTAAAAATGTTTATTTAAAAAAAAAATAGTTTTTAGTTTTTGATCTGTCAAAATATTATTTTGATTTGTAAAAATAGTATAAATATAATATTCCATTAACAAACGGACTCAAATCAAATTTGTATTATACAGTCCACTTAGATAGATTACATTTGGTCCATTCGCGCCGAATTAGATGTGATACCAGTTTTTCTTGGAAGTTTTCATTGTCGAAGAAAAACGTTCTATTGCCGACCTGCCGTATTTAGAAGTTGTACATCTACGTTGCTGTTTGAAGTCTTTAATGCAACGATGGATTGTTGATAATATGGTTTTGGTGGTTGTTGAAGGCTGAATATTTAGTCAAGTGAGTTCGTTCCGTTAAGGAGATAGGGGATATATATTTGTACTATTGCTTTGTGAGATTTTTTGGGTTTGTCTAGTGTTTTCTTTCAGTTTTTAGGAGAAAATGTCAGAAATTTGTAAATTAAAACGCCAGCGCGGTTTTATTAGAGGGCAATTAACCCGTCTCAAGAGCTATTTAGCATCAGTTGATTCCGAAAACCTCACGGATTTGGTGCTAAATCAGTTGCAAAGTAGTTTTTATAAGGCAGAACCTCTTTTGTGTCAATTTGATGAATATCAAAGAGAAATTGAAGCATTGCAGTATCAGGACGAATCAACTTCTGATCAGGAAAGTATAAAAAATATTTTAGATATAGAAAATAAAGAGTATGTCGAATTTGAAAACGAATATTTTCAAATTATAAGTCAGTTAAAATTATTGCTTTCCCGGAATGTTAATTCAAACGATATTAGTAATGATTCTAATAGTGAAAGGTTTTCTCCGCCTGCGTTTGTTCAGTCTCCTAGACAATCCAGATTAAAGTTACCAGAAATAAAAATTTCATCTTTTAAAGGTTCATTTGAAAAGTGGTTAGAATTTCGTGATGCATTTCAAGCAATTGTGCATGATAATTCTCAGTTAAGTAATGTTGAGAAGTTTTATTATTTAAAATCTTTTTTACAAGATGAGCCATTACAAGTTATAGCAAATTTACCAGTTACTAATGATAATTATTTGATTGCTTGGAATTTGCTTATAGAAAGATTTGAAAATAAACGATTGATTATATATAATTACATCAAAGCATTGTTTGATTGTCCGAATTTAATTAAAGAATCTCATGCCAATTTAAGAAATTTATACGATTTATTTAACAAAAATTTAAGGTCTTTAAAAAGTTTGGGCCAAGCGACAGAAAATTGGGATACTTTAATTGTTTATATGCTTGTTAATAAATTTGATGGGATTACTCGAAGAGAATGGGAGTCACATCCTATAACTGGCAATTTACCGACTTTCTCTGATGTAAATTTGTTTCTAAAACTAAAATGTGAATTATTAGAGAAATTAGATAATTCTATAAAGGAAAATAAAATAGTCAATAAATCAGATAATAGAATAAGAGCTCATGCATCTGTATCTAAAAATAAACTTTCTTGTTATTACTGTAATAAAAATCATTCGATATACAAATGTTTTGCTTTTAAAAAATTGGACATTTCTAATAGAATGAAGGCTGTTATAAGACTAAATATTTGCAAAAATTGTTTTAGTAATAATCATACAGAAAATTGTCCCAGTTCCTTTTCTTGTCGACATTGTGGTAAAAAACATAATTCTTTATTGCATGTTAATTCTGTAGAACAACCTAATCAAAATAATTTACTTAATACTCCTAGTAGTAGTACTACTACTAATAGTAGAACTGAAGATGAGTGTGAAATTTCTACAGCCAAAAATTCTTTACCGATGGTTACTTCTGGACATATTATGAATAGTCCAAATGCTGCTACATTATCATAACTCATAATTTACCTGTAATGTCATTTGATTCTCATAAAATAACTATTCCCAAAAATATAAAATTAGCAGATGAATCTTTTAATATTTCAGGTCCAATTGATATGCTGTTAGGCGTTGATACATTTTATCGGTGTCTGCTTATGAAACAGATAAAATATCCCTCTACACCCGTTATTCAAAAGACTAGGTTTGGTTGGATTGTTGGTGGGTATATTAGTTCTTGTTATTTTGATAATAATACGGTTATGTCGTGTCATTCATTAGAGTTGTCTATTAATGAAACTCTTGCTAAATTTTGGGAAATCGAAGAAGGTTCTACGTGTAATAAAATATATTCGAAGTCAGAAGAATTTTGTGAAAATCACTTTGCTGAAAATTATAAACGTGCTTCTGATGGTCGATTTATAGTAAAGTTTCCTTTTAAAGAAAATTTAAATGATTTGGGTTTGTCTCGAAATATGGCTTATAAACGTTTATGTTTTCTTCAGAAGCGTCTCAATAAAGACAAAGATTTGAAAGGTGGGTATGTTTCATTTCTTAGTGAATATCAAAAATTGGGTTACATGACTAAAGTTAAAGGTTTTTCTATGGATAATACTGATTTTAGACAATGCTATTATCTTCCCCATCATGCAGTAATTAAGGAATCTAGTTTAACAACAAGGTTGAGAGTTGTTTTTGATGCTTCAGTTAGAACTGACACTAATTTGTCATTAAATGATGTGCAGTTTGCTGGTCCTACAATACAGAACGATTCTTTTAAATTTTAGAATGTATCCGTATGTTATGAATGCAGATATTTCGAAAATGTATCGCCAAGTTTTGATAGATCCTGAGCAAAGATGTTTTCAGAGAATTTTATGGAAAGATTTAGATGATCCCAAAGCAATGGTTGAATGCTTTGAATTAAATACTGTTACTTATGGCTGTGCTTCATCGTCTTTTCTGGCAGTCAGATGCTTAAAACAATTAGCTTTAGAATTTCAACCTATTTATCCAGAAGCATGTCATGCTATTTTAAATTGCTTTTATTTAGACGATTTATTAGCTGGTGCTTTTTCCATTTCTGAATTGCTGAAACTCCAGAAGGAAGTATCATTTATTTTATCTTCCGGTGGATTTCAGTTGAGAAAATGGCTATGTAATAAATCAGAATTGTTGAAAAGTTTTCAAGTTGATAGTACATTATCATCAAATATATTGCAGTTAGGTAAAGATGAGCAGAATAAGACCTTAGGAATATTTTGGAATTCATTTAGCGATACAATCCATTATTCAATTAAGAAATTTAAATATGAAGGTTCTATTACTAAAAGAATGATTTTATTGAGAATGATATGATTGTTAAATGTAATGATATGATTGTTAAGAAGAATTATATGATTGTTAAATGTAACAATCCTGTTACATTTAATTATATTATGGGTGATTTACCTGAATGTCGTGTATCTTCTTTCCAGCCAGTGTTTTCTCATACTGGTATTGATTATATCAGCCAAATATTTGATCCATTAGGACTTTTAGGTCCAGTCGTTGTCAATGGTAAAATTATTTTACAACAACTTTGGCAAGAACAATTAGATTGGGATGAATCTATTCCTTCATATTTATTAGAATATTGGATGGAATTTTGTAATAATATTCAAGTTCTAAATTCTCCATTTTTAGATTTGTGTTATTGGATAATTTCCAAGTAACACATCTTCATGCGTTTGCTGATGCATCATAGAAAGCTTATGGCGGATGTGTGTATCTTGTTTGTTTCGCCAACGGCGAATATGTTTCTTCTACTTTGCTGGTTTCCAAATCGCGAATTGCTCCTATTAAAAAAATTAGTTTGCCTCGTTTAGAACTTTGTGCTGCAGAACTCGTAACAAAATTAGTTAGAAAGGCCAAAGAGTCTCTAAGCAGATTTAAAATTGAAAAAACTTTTTATTGGACTGATTCTTTAATTACCCTAAGTTGGATCAAAGGATGTCCCAGTAGATAGAAGACTTTTGTGGCAAATAGAGTTACAAAAATTCAAAATCTTTCTGATCAAATTGAATGGTTTTACATAAAATCAGAAGAAAATCCTGCTGATTGTTTATCAAGAGGAATTTCATCTGAAAAACTCTAGAATTATTCGTTATGGTGGAATGGTCCTATTAACATATTTTCTAATTTGTCTGACAATGTTCGCACTTTCTCAATGTCGACTGCTAATTGTCACCCTGTAACGAAGATTTTTTGTTACATTTTGGTTTACGTGCGCTTTGTTTATGATAAGTTCCTTTATCTGTCTGAATTTTAATATCAGTTTCATTGATGACGTTTGCTTTTTTATATTTGGGTAAGTCTTTATTTCTAGATTTGGTTTTAATATAAGCCGTATCTGTCTTAAGGAAATCAGTTGGGTCAGACCTGTTCTGATTGATCTCTTCTATGATTTTTTCTTTCTTTTCCCTATTAGTTATAGCTATTTGTTTCTAGAGTTGATCGATACTTTCTTTATGATTTTGTATATAATTTGAAATGATGGTATGATCGTTTAAATCAAACGGATTTAAGTTGTTTATGTGTCTTTTAATTACTTCAAGCGGGGTAAACTCTGTTACGGAATGTATTGAATTATTATAGCCTAGTGCTGTTTTCATAAGTTGTTCTGATGTAAAATTATTATTTTGTTCTTTTAAACATCGATAATGTTCGATAATTGTCGAATGAAATCTTTCGAGCGGGGAATTTGAGTTCGAATTCTTCACGGTGGTATAATGTAATTCGATTTTGTAGAGTTTGCAAAAGTTTTCAAGATCTTTATTCTTAAATTCAGTGCCGTTATCGGTAGTAATTTTTAGAGGTAACCCGTGATGACTAATAAAATTAAAGAGATTTTCTATTACAGCGGTTCCGGAGAGATGTGGCAACAAGTAGGCTTGTGCATATCTCGAAAAAGTGTCGATAATCGTTAGATAAATTTCATTTGAGATCTTAAATGTATCTATATGAATATGTTCGAATAGTTTTGAACTAGTTGGTGTAAAATTAAATTTAATTACTGGAGGGTGTCTGTCGTATTTGTTTTCTGACAAATCTCACAGTTATTAATATAATTTTCGATATCATCTCCCATTTCTTGCCAATAAAATTTTAAAGATAAAGATTGTTTCATTTCGGTTATACCGCGATGACATATTTTTGTTGCATGGTATAATTTTAATTTTTCTACTTGTTCCTCTTTTGTCTCAATATCTTCCAAAAATTTAGAACACTGAGTTAACCGATAAGACTAATTTTTGAATAAATTTTGAATCGTTACTGCAAGATGTTTTGCAAATTCTGGGTCACGGAAAAATATCGCGTAATGTTGTTTTGGGTCTACAAATTCTTTTAATAATTTGACTACATTTGGAGTAGCGTTTCTGTTTGATATTGTGACATATATACGAGTGTAGTCGAAAGGTTTAGTGAAATTACATTTAATGTTTTCAATAGCTCCGGTAGTTATTATCAATTGGTTTTTAAATGTGTTTATTCGTTTTTCTGATATCGGTATGCCCATCACTGGATTTTCGGCTGAAGTATGTACAGTTTCGAGATTTGTTGATGTTTTCTCTACGTTAATTTGACGATATGGGGACCTAATTTGGATATCTGAAACAATTTTGATTTTTGGTTGGTCTGAATCAATAGCCTTAAAGAGTAAGTTCTTCTCGTTTAAGTCTAAGTCTTGTAAAAAATCGTTAATATCATTTTCAATGTCTCCTGAGTTGTTTGTTACAGACATAGTTTCAAGTGCATTCATATCACAAACTGGATTCCGTGAAAGGGTGTCGGCTGCTTGATTGTTTTCCCTTTTTTTATATTCGATAGTATAATCGAATTCTTCAAGCTTCAATCCCCATCGGACCAGTCGTGAATTTGGCTCTTTTAGTGAGAACAACCACTGTAGCGGTTTATGATCGGTTCTTATGACAAACTTATACCAAAATAAATATGGTCTAAAATATTTACAACACCAAACTATTGCCAAAAGTTCTTTCTCAATAGTGGAGTAGTTGATCTCTGCAGGGTTTAAAGTTCTAGAGGCATAGCAGATAGGGTGATTATCCTGCGATAAAATACCTCCTATTGCATTGTTCGAAGCATCGGTTGTAAGTTCGAATTGTTCGAAAGTCTGGGTAAATTAGTACAGGTTCAGATGTTAATATATTTTTACACAATTGAAAACAATCTACATATTCTTTGGTATGTTGTACTTTTTCGTTCTTTTTCAGACATTGTGTCATCCGTTTAGTGATCTTCGCGAAATTCTTTATAAATTTCCTATAATATCCTAATAGTCCTAGGAACGACTTTATTTCACGTTGAGTTCTTGGTATCGGGAATTTCTGGACTGCTTCAATCTTCTTGTTGGGCTTGATTCCATCTGGTGTAATGACGTGCCCTAAAAATTCGACTTCAGTGTGGAGAAATTCCGATTTATCTAGCTGGATCTTCAGATGCGCTTCTCTTAATTTCTTAAAAACCAGTTTCAAATTTTGAATATGGTCTGTCAATCCCGTACTAAATATTATTATGTCGTCCATGTAGACCATGCACACCTTGTTCTGGATGTCTTTTAGAACTTCATCCATCACACGTTGGAACGTGGAGGGTGCATTCTTGAGCCCAAATGGCATTCGTAAAAACTCGTATTGTCCTCGATCTACTGAGAATGCCGTCTTTTCGATTGAATTTTCTTCCATTTCCACTTTATGGAAACCATTAGCGAGGTCAAGCGTTGTGAAGTAATTACACCTGCCTAGCTTGTCGAGAATGTCGTTGATGTTGGGAATAGGGTACCTATCCTCGATGGTCTTTTCACTGACCTTCCGATAGTCTATTACGACTCTGCATTTTTGTGTGCCTGAGGATCTTCTTCGGCTATATCCAGATCGGCGACGACCAAGGGCTCGACGAAGGTCTTATAATTCCTTTCTCTAACATCTCGCTGATTTGCCGTTGAATTTCTTGGGTGTGTATGTATGGATATCTATACGTTTTGGCGTGGACAGGTTTTTCGTCCGTGGTATTTATTTTATGTTTGACGTAAAAGTTAGTTTATCTCCAGTTTTATGAAAAATGTCAGCGAATTCTTTGCAAAGTTTTATTATTTCCGATTTTTCTTTTTGATTAAGGTGTTCCGTTCTAATTACCCCTATTAGAATTTAAACTTGGAATTCGCGATGTGGTAGACATCGGTTCCGGTTTAGGAAGTTGATTTGCAGGTATCGGTTTAGGCTTAAAAACATTTTGTGGAGGCCCGAATACCTCTCGATTTGTCGGAAACCTTTGTGGTGGCACTGGCTTTGTTTGTATATTTATAGGTTGAGAAGGCCATACATATTTTTGTTGTGAATTATTACCAAAATTATTTTCAAAATTGTTACCAAACTTATTATTATGATTTTTCCTTGGATTATTACCAAAATTATAATTATTTGGATTATTTTGTGGATTAAACTGTGAAAAATTATTCGGATTGTTAGTAAAATTTCTCTGATTTTGTTGAAATGTATTGACCTGCGGGGGAGGTTGTGATTTAAATGATGCATTTATTTTTTGTGGTGGTGGAAAATTAGTATTACCGTATAGATGTTAAAAATTTTCGAATTCATTAACATATGCTAGGGCATCTTCTAGCGTTTTAGGCTTTCTCAGATGCATGTTATTTCGTAAAAGATCTGAACATCCCGCAATAAATGTATTAAGGGCGGTTTTATCTAAATAGGTTATGTGACAGAGCTTCTGTTCATTTGTAATTGTAGTATCGTTGCTTATGCGCTGAACTACATTACTTCTTAATAATTGTAAACGGCTACCAAAATTTAAAAGTGATTCATTTTTATATGGATGTGTCCTAGTTAATTCTTGCACGAGACAATCTAAATCTCGTCGATCGGCAAAACTCTGAATTAGAGCTGTTTTAAAAGAGATCCAATATGTCAATTCTGCCCGATTTCCCACCATAATTTCGGCTTTTCCTATCAATTTTCCCTGAATACACTCAAATATATGGTCATTTAAACTTTTATCCCTTAATGATTTATAGCTGTCAAACAGTTTCCATAAATTTCAATCGCCGGAAACGGCCCTTTAGCAGAGCAAAAGCATTTTCGATGTGGACCCTAATTTGTGATAATTTTATATTAAAATTTTCTTGCCTGTTTGACAAGTTTATGTTACTTTTAAAACTAACCATCATGTAGTCTGACAAGTTATAGGCTAAGTCACCAAGCATATGACTATCATGAGGAAATGCAAATTGTCCTGTTTGAATTCCTTCAAAGGGGTCTGATTTCTCAAACAGACGGCTGTCGTGGATGGAACTAGGTTCTCCAGCATATACGTGGGTAAATAATTTTTTGTTATCACATAACCCTTGCAACGAAACCGAATGAAAAATTTTCCTGTTGCAATAGGAATTAGGATGGAATTATGTTGTTCGACGGAAGGAAAGTCTTTTTAAAAACAATTATTTATTTAAAAATATACAGCGTGAATGTTGTACGTACGAAATCAGACAAAAGAATGAATTTATAATGAACATTAACTTAAAAGGAAAACTTATCAATAAAAGCATGATCAGCAGGTCTCATGGGAAGATCTTCTGTGCGGTTGCAGGTGTGGCGGAAATGGCCACATGTAACTCCTCCCTCCTTAAGACGAAAAGATAACGGAGTTTTCTTTTCGTGGTGGGTCTTCGGGTATCTCTTCTTTGGATGGGCATATCTTCTTCCTTATGTAGCTCAGCATAGGGTAGAGTAACTTCTTCCTTGTGATGAAGAGTAGGCTCAGAGTGATCAGGATGAACAAAACCATGAATATGATGTCAGTGGAATTGTCTATGAAACTTCTCGTCGATGGGGTTAACGGATGCAGTTGGTTAACCATTTGCCTTAGCTCGAACATTTTGTCAAAATTTAATTTCGTGATGTTGAAGGCCTCGAAGGATTTACTTCTTTTTACTTGATCAAAACTGATTGGTGGTAGTATTAAAGACTTGCTGTCTTGTATTGAGACATCATTGGAATATATTTGATAATTTATGTGGACCTCACAGCCCTTAGAAATTTTGATTAGGCTGGGCTCTTGAATTTCCAAATATCGATCGGTTTTACATTTTGAAAATATTCTTTGTGGTCTTGAAGGTAGTATAAGTATTCTCTTGGCGTTATTTGTTCGATGATAGGCTCTTGAACGTGGATGTCGATTATTTTACAGTCATCGGTAGATTGGTTTTCGATCAGCTGTAGCGTGCACTGGTCATCAGGGTGAAATTTTACGTGGCAATAGAAAGTTTCTTCTAAGAATGGACAGATGGTTTCTTGAAACTGTACTTTGTAGTCTGCTCGCGCCATATAAGGGTATTTGGGGATAATAACTTGGTGGTTTTGTGTTATAGGAAATAAATGATAAAAGGTAAAGGTATCAGGTTTTACGATCGGAATATGAATAGCGAAAATTAGTTTCGTATTCGAAAAAGTTATTTGTGTTCCTAAGAACTGATAGATAGATAAAATGTTTTTAATATAGGTATTTGATTTTTATCGTATAGAGTACCTAAATAGTTTATCATTTTTTGGAGCTCTGAGCTAAGAAGTATAGAATTATGTAGTGTATTTAATTTAGCAAACATAATCGCATCTTCTATATTATCTAGAAATGTAATGATGTTCTGACAGTCTAAATTAATTTGAGAAAGTATTCCTTGTACACTAATATATTCTTGAAGATTACCGATTTCTTTGTTTACAGAGTATTGGAAGAGTTTTAACCATTTTGAAGATTTTCTTGGTTTTTGCTGAGAGTAGTTATTGTTTTGTTATAGTTATCAATCAACCCTTTTGAAAGAGAGATTTGTAAATTGACTTCATTGATTAGTTTCTTTTGATCGTTATTTAATTGATTAATTATTGAATCGTATCTATTTCCATCGTCTGCGTCTAATGTTCCGAATAGCCATTTATTAACTATACCTACAACAGTTACTAGTCCTCGTTTATTACGTATATGAGGATATAAATTTTTAATTTTATTTAAGGTGGTTTCTGTTAAAATTTTTGTTCTAGAAAGTATATTTTGTGAAAGTCCTTGATAGGATATCGGATTCGTACCATTTTTATCGCGTATAATTGTTTTAATAATAAAAATTGATCTTCTATATTTCTAAATTCATTAATTATAGTGCTTAAATCTAAATAGTGTATAAACGTATGCTTAGTATATACTAGTTTGAAATTGCCTAAGTTTAAGGGTAAAATAAAATTATTTAAAGGGGTTATTTGGATATCATCGGCACTACATTTCATGAGAAGCAGGGTTGTCAACACTAGTGTTATCTTCATCATTTCCCTGAAATGAGAGATTACGTTTAGTCTTTGGTTTCCTAGTGCAACTCTTATGATATGTACCCTTATTTGTCTCTAGTTTAATATCTGACTCTTTTATAATGGTAGTTTTCTTAAATTTCGGCAAGTCTTTAGAACGATTTTTTGTCTTTATGTAAGCGCTTTCTGTGTTAAGGAATTTTCGTGGGTCTTGTCGATCATCATTAAATTTATTTACTATTGATTCCTTTTTATTTTTATTGATTTCGTGAATTTTATTATATCTACAATTTGTTGGTTCTTGATGTCCTACTGTTAGAATAATTTGATTTTTATAAGTAGGTATTTAAAGATTTTTCAATAATAGGTAACTTAAATATAGGGTCTTCTAGTGACGTGTGAAGTGTGAAATCAGTAGAGTCGGCAGAGATTACGATAGGGGTTCCCATATTATCGGGATTTTTATTCTATCGGGAAGTCCCTTTTTATCGGGGGGTCTTATTCTATCAGGGGGGCGTTTTCGTATATTCGAGATTACTTTAATTGTCTGTCCTTTGAGGACGTCTAGCCTTAAAACTTCGGGTACTGTCTCATTGTCCAGTGGCGGGAGTTCGTCTATAGTTTCACGAAACTCTTTTATAGTATCGTTAGTATCTCCTGTGTTGTTAACTTTACAGAGGATGAGGATACTTTAAGGATGTAGTTTCTAGAGCATTTAAATCGTTAATTATTCCTGGTTTAGATAAAATTTGAAGTTCATAAACATTAACAGGCATGTTTTTAATTATTTTTTCATTGGGGTTAACAAAACCAGAGAAATTTACATCTTCAGGTTGTCGATATTTAAAAGGAATTTCGATGTTATTTCCTATCAACTATTGTTGTACTAAATTAATATTAAAATTCATCTGAATAAGATCAGTAAGACCTATGACTCCATCGAAAAAGTCATAAAAATCAAAGAGAAGATGTTATTTTTAATGCCAAAATCTAAAAGAATAGGTCTACAGTACCTATTTAGTTAGTTTACTACCTATGGCAGTTTTAATTATATTAGATCTTTGATAGATAAAGTTTGGAATATTGTTCTATTATTGAAGGTTTAATAATTGATTTAATGCTGCCTGTATCGATTAGTAATTTTAAAGAGGGGTTTATTGTTTCAATATATGGTAAAGAATTGTTAGTAGCTATATTATTGATTTCGATCAAGTCAATTGATCGTTGAAGCTGGTGTCTAGGAAACTTTCATCCTGTTCGATATTTTTATTATTTATTGATTGTCGATAATATTGATCATAAATTGAATTATCGCATGTATAATTTTGGGTATTTTCGTCGTAATATACATTACTATTGTAGTTATCGTATGGCGTTTCCTGTTCACATTCATTGGAGTATAATTCTTGGTAGTTAGAATTGGGATTCCTGTTAAATAGTTGTCCGTTAGAGATATTCTGTGAGAAACTTTTTCTACTATTCATACTAGGAATATGCGACGTAGTCGACATCGGCTCGGGTTTTGGTAGTTGACTCGGTGGTATAGGTCGTGGTTTAAATACATCCTGTGGCGATCAAAATACTTCGCGATTTGTAGGAAATCGTCTAGGTGGTACATTTTGTGTTTGAATATTTATCGGTTGTGATGGCCACTCAAATTTTGATTGGAAGGGTTGTTGATTACCAAAATTGTTATGATAGTTATTATTGTAAGGGTTATGAGTAGCAAAATTACTGGGTGGCTTAAAATTATTGAAATTATTTGAATGGTTATTTCTAGAATTAAATTGATTTTGTTGATTGTTATTAAAAGAATTAGGTGGGTTATTAAAAGTTGGCTTTTGGGATTTATTAAAATCACTATTACATTTTCCATATAACCTTTCAAAATTTTCAAATTCTCACATAAGCTATCGCGTCTTCTAAACGTGTTGGTTTTTTAATGTATATGTTATTCTTTAAGGTACCACTACAACCTGCGATAAACGTATTTAACGCGGTTTTGTCAATATAAGAAATATGGCAAAGTTTTTCTTGGCGTATTAAAGTTGTATCGTTACTGATACGTTGTACCACATTACTTCGTAAAAGTTGTAACCTATTGCCAAAAGCTATTATATTTTCGTGCTTATCAGGGTGAGTTCGGGTTAACTCTTGTATTAAACAGTCCAGATCTCTTCGATCTGAGAATGATTGAATCACAGCTGTCTTAAGAATATTCCAATCGGTTAATTCGGCTCGATTACCGACCATAATCTCTGCCTTGTCAATCAATTTTTCTTGAATTGATTCAAGAATATGTTGATTAAGTTCGGCATCGTTTAAATTTTTGTAACTATTAAAAATACTTTCACATCTGTTGATAAATTTATTGAGAGTATTACTGTCTCCATCATACGGTTTAATATTATCCATTTTGGATTTAAATAATTCCCAGTTAAGCTTTGATTCAGTCATTTTTTTTAGATGGTATAGAAGAAGAAGCGATTTTGTTTGATTGTTGTACAGAAAATGATAAACTATCTAATTTTCCTATAATTTTCTCTAATTCGGTCATGTATTTTTAAATAAACTTAATTTTAAAACTAAAGATAAAGTAATTATTTATGTATTGATTATAAAAATTTATTATATTGAATAATAATTTATTTTTTAAAATCGATAAATTATTTTTTCAATTATATTGATTATTGATTTATTTTTTAAAATCGATAAATTATTTTTTTCTTTTTTCGTTTTTCTTAAAATTACTGCTCCCAATGAGCTGCGAAATTGTGTGCGCTATGCACTGGCCCTAACTATCCCTACCGAAAAACCTTAACCAGAGGGTTCGGAGAGGCAAAAAGGAAAAAGCACTTACAGTTTTGATGCTGTCGTGTTTTCTTCTCCTTTCTCGATCCTTTTGCGACTCGTTGTGGGTGCTGCACTTTGCTGCCGTCGAGGTTCTTCTTCGATACGCGCTTAACGGTTGAAACCACGAAACGACACAACTGGCCCGAAAAGATGCTCGAAAAACACAGAATTGTCGTCGCACGTATCCTACCGACTGCGCCAATTATGTTGTTCGACGGAAGGAAAGTCTTTTAAAATACAATTATTTATTTAAAAAGATACAGCGTGCATGTTGTACGTACGAAATCAGACAAAAGAATGAATTTATAATGAACATTAACTTAAAAGGAAAACTTATCAATAAAAGCATGATCAGCAGGTCTCATGGGAAGATCTTCTGTGCGGTTGCATGTGTGGCGGAAATGGCCACATGTAACTATGGTCTCTTGGTGGTAGGATTCTAATATGGCTACCGTCTATGCAGCCAATTACTCCTAAAAAGCAAGATGTCAAAAATTATATAAGAGAAATATTTTTGAAATTAATGTTTAAAAAAAAGTTATTGTACTCAACAACATAAACTTACCTTCGAATCCATTAATTTCTTGAAAAGCTTCCATTATAGCATGAGCCCTGTCTCGTATTGGCCAAGAAATTATTTTAAATACAGAATTCATTTTCAAAAGAATTCTGCATGTTCGATATAAAACATCCCAGCATGTTGACTTAGACATTCCAAATCGATCAGCAACTGAACTAAAATAAAAATCATAATCAAGGAACAATTAATTTGGTTAAGTTTTGTGATTTTTACCGAAAACTTTCCATACTAGCTAAAAACCATATAGCTATCATGGCTTGCTTGTCCATCTGGATGTCCAACAGTGGCCAACCTATTTTCACCAACTGCATGTAATTTCACCAGTAAATCTTCGAAAGTTGTTGGAGACATTCTAAAGTGATGTCTAAACTGGTGATTGGCAAATTGGGGTACAGTTACTTCAGCGAAACCCGCTACTTTTTCCAAAACACTGGTTTCTTACTCTTCATCATCAAACATTTCATAGCCCCCTTCGATGAAGGCCAATATGGCAACAGGAACACTCATTATTATGTATAAACTAACTTATTATTGTTGCTTAATGCAAAACCACCTACAAAACTCAAAAAATAAATTACTAGTCCTTTTGTCTTTGAACATTGAAAGATTTCAATTGGCAATTCAAACTTGTCACTTTTCCCGCGACCCGAACATTCGAAACCGTTCGGTAATTTCAGGTTACTCCTGTCTGTGATCAAGTACATCCAATCTGTGATCACGTGACAAAAAATTCGTCGACATCTGGCTGTGATTACCGAACCTGACTCTTATTGCCGAAATGCCGAATATTACAATATTATTTGTTATTTGGTATGTACATCATTAGGTACATCAAAATTTTAAAATTTTCTATACAGAAGAAGAGGAACGCCAAAGCAATCAAAACTCGGTCTCGGTTACGGCGAACGCTTTTAGCATTGTGATCTCTTCTCAACCTTTAACACAGAACAAAATATACCTAATACCTATCTATTCTTATCAACTTAATATCGCTACCGCTATTTTTCAAAATTAATAAGAAAGTATAAATAAAACAAAATCCCGATTTTCAATATTTCATTGTTACCGCCAGCGATATGCGCAGACGCGAGCAAAAGACAAATAAACTAATTCTCTGTTTTCTTTCTTCTTTGTCACTCTTATTAAACTTACTAGAGAAAGCTATATTACTAATTTTCATATTATAGTTCAATATTCTTCATATATAATTCAATATTCTAACTTCTAACCTCAAATTTGGTCAAAAAATAAATAATTTTGTTGAAGTGATCCCAAACATTTAGCCGACGATCCGTACTTAGAGCGTTAAAACATTAATTGTAGAATATATTAATATCAAATTTACATCAATAACTTCAAGATTGGCTATATACCTAAAAGGTACCATCACCTATAATTCTACTAAATAATTAGAATTATTAATTCGATTGTGAAATATGAATTATTACTAATTATTCGATGGTGAAAATAATTCGATTATTCCCAACACTACATCTGACAAAGAGTAGAGAACTTTGCTTCTGATATGTAAGCATAGCACTCTCTATTATTCTATGCTTACATTTAGGTTCTAATAATACCTTTTTTAGATTTCCCAAGAATGTAAAAGGCGTGCTGTTTGGATTAAAAACATGCACATTGCAGATTGGGAGCCCACTATAAATGATAAAATTTGCTCAAAGCATTTTGAACAAAGTTTGTTCTATCATATTGGGGATAGAACAAGGGAGGGATAGTAGGTTTAATTACTGAGTTATTAAAAGACCATGTTTTAAATTGTAACAACAATAGGCAAAGATAGCCTGGATGTATTCAAGGAGTTTTTGCGTTACTAACTTTTGGTTAAAAAATTACCTATTTTATGTTAAATTTTACTGATGTTTGTAAGTTTAATTTAAACATAATAATAGCTTTAGTATTATTAGTGTTGTTTTATTGTTATTATTATTGTTGTTATTACTAGCTATATATCATTATATTAATAAGTAAGTAGTTTAGTTAGTAACTAAATAAGTAAGTTTTATTTTCTAACAGAATTGGTTATTTCAAAATATATACTTCAACAAAATCTATATGTTTTCGTAACAAAGATGAGCGGGGCCTGAAATAACATACTCAGCTATATCCTGTTCAAAACCCTCTAACAAAATCTATTTTTTTTATCTGTAAGGAACAGCTGCTGCTAATTTTAGTTTTTAAGTTTATTATTCGTTGTAAACATTTGAATATATTTTTAATATACAGGGTGTCCCAGAAATAAGTGCAAATATTTTAACTGGTAGTATAGTTCAACCCTAGAAACACGCCTATGAGGTTTTTTTTGCGAAAAAAAAATGTTGAAAATTTAAAATTTTTCTTGACATTTTCCGGGAAATTTGAAAAAACTTTTTAGTGCCACTTGTTTATTCACCTGAGATTTCCCTACGGTGTATCTAAACCTTGCAGTGTTGCAACCTCCTATGTTATCCACATTCTACATAGTTCGGCAGAACATAGTTCTACATTTATAAATTCTTAGACAAATTTCTACTCAAAAAATTAGGAATGTTAAATTTAATCTTTTATCAGGGCTCATTATTAATAATTATAGAAAAAAAAAACATTAATTATTTTTAGTACTTACCCTTTCAATGAAAACTTAACAAAAACCACCGAAAATTAACTAAAACATTACGTTTATGACGTTTACGAAAATCTTTGTTATGCTGCAAAATAACTTTATTTTGGAATAAATTTAATAAAATGATTCATGTTATTCACAATCAGGTCACAAAAAGAAATTCCTAAAATGTTTATCGTAATTTAGTAATCGTAATTCAATTCAAGAAATTTAAAAAACAGCCCAACGAATAATCGATTCATTTTTGTTTTGTCTGTTTTCTTTCATGTTTCTCTGTTTTATTTGAACCACTGTTTTACAAAACACCTTGAAAAGCGCACATTACTTTGAATACCTTTGTGAATGAATAAATGTTGAGAATTATTGTCTCTTATCGCCACTTTACGAACTACTTTCAATCTAAGAAAATACATGTTTCACTCAACAATTATTGACAACGTATTTTGGTTTTTCGCTATTTTTTCGATGTATTTCGACCATTCCATCGACAGCCTAACCGTCAGCCAAGAACTGCCGCGTGTGAACTGGTCCTTTGAGTCGCCGGTCGCCGCGCCGTCGTGGCGGGCTTGTGTCAGACGACGATGTTAAGCAACGTTGCCGTAGTTACAACAATTTCAAATTCAAGACATTCAAAGCAATCAAATTCGTATTAAATTTTAAAAATAAAACAGAGAAACATGAAAGGAAATAAACAAAACAAAAATGAATTGATTATTCGTCGGACTGTTTTCGATGTATTGAATTCTGAATTACTATAAACATTTTAGAAATTTCTTTTTTGTGACCTTATCAATAACCAATTCATTTGTGTTGTTTTCTTTCATATTTTTCTGTTTTATTTTTAAAATTTAATAAGAATTTGATTGCTTCGAGTGTCTTGAATTTGAAATTGTTGAAACTACGGCAACCTCACATTACGCAAGTTCGACACGGCGGCGCGACAAAGGAGCAGTTACCAGTGATGCGCCGGTCTCTTGGCTGACGGCCGACGCGACGGTTGGGCTGTCGATGAAATTGTTGAAATACATAGAAAAAATAGCGAAAAAACAAAATACGTATTTAAAATTGTTGAGTGAAACATGTATTTTTTAGATTGAAAATAGTTCGGAAAGTGGCGGTAAGAGACAATAATTCTCAACAATTATTTATTCAGAAAGGTATTCAAAGTAATGTGTGCTTTTGAAGGTGTTTTGTAAATCAGTGGGTCAAATTGTGATGAGGCCTATATGAAAATAATGTGTTAAAAATGGGGACTGTTATTTTAGTAGTTATTATAATAGCATGTACAAGTAAAGCAGCACAGTGAAGTGTATTTTAGTTAAGTATATATCGAAAAAGAGAACTGTCACAGTTACATCGATCTGTCATAAGCATCTTTTTTAATGTTGGGTAAGTTTTTTGATTTAACTTTTTTAATACAGTTTTAACACATTATTAAACATTTAACTTTTAATTTATTTTATGTAATAATATCACAATCTTAAAAATGTACTGCATCTCCGCAAACTCCTCAGGTGTTGTGATTTTATGACTTACTTTTAACATATACTTTCTTGTTCCTATGGCAACACAGTGCGTCGAATTAACTGAAATCCGGGCTTGATCCGGGTAATTGGATGTAGTTGGCGATATCTGCCGGCAGTTCTCAAAATGTTGCGATTATTTTTTTAAATTTTCAAAGTTAAATAACTCGGTTATTTTCAATTTATTTTAAAAATGGTAAAGAGAAATTATGTTTATTTTAACCAGATCTACCACCCCTTAAAATATCTGCACTCATTTCTGGGACACCTTGTATATCTCATTGTTTTCTTTGAGAAACTTATAAAAAGGTTAAAATGTACAGTAAGTCTAAAACTCGAAGTTAAAATAAATAAAACCAATAGTTTTTGCATTTTTTTCAATAACTATTGTATAATTAATTATAAAATTAAAATGCCATATACAGGGTGATTCCTGTAAGTCGGTCATGCTTTCGAGGAATGATAGGGGACGTCGAAATATTAATTTTGATATAGCATACTATGGGTCGGAAATGCCTCTTACGCAAGATACAGGGAGTTAAAGTTTTTGAAAAATTAAAGATATTCTTTAATAGTTTCTTAATAGTTGAAGGTATCGTTATAAAATTTAATTATTGGAATCTACCTAACAGAGACACTTTAAATGTAAAAAGAAGAGGTTTTAGTATCAACCAGTGGCGTAGATGTGATACACATCGGGTAATTTTTTCAAAAAAAAATAGAACGCCACTGATAAAAATAAAAATTTCGGAGTTTTTTTATTTACTCGGTTTATTTTTAAGAAAAAGGTCTCTTGCAGCTTTCTTCTATCTAACACGATTTTGTCACAATTTAAAAATAAATATTTTTTTAATGAAAACCTTAAATATGCGAATTATTATAACTACCTTAAAACTACGAATTTTATTATTAACAATAAAAAAAATTCTAGTTTAAATTTATAATTTTTTAATAATGTATTTAGAGCTAATAGGAAAAAGTACTAAAGTTACCCAAGATGAAGGGAGCTAACGATGCACATGTGTTTCTGCCCTCTAGTTATAATAATTCGCTGTATTTAAGATTCTCATTAAAAATTTATTTATTTTTAAATTGTGCCAAATGGTATTAGATAGGAGAAAGCTGCAAGAGACATTTTTTCTTGGAAATAAACCGAGTAAATAAAAAAAACTCCGAAATTTTTATTTTTATCAGTGGCGTACTATTTTTTTTTTGAAAAATTACCCGATGCGTATCACATCTACGCCACTGGTTGAAACTATAACCTCTTCTTTGCACATTTAAAGTATCTCTGTTAGGTAGATTCCTATAATGAAATTTTATAACGATACCTTCAACTGTTAAAAAACTATTAAAGAATATCTTTAATTTTTCAAAAACTTTAACACCCTGTATCTTGCGTAAGAGGCATTTCCGACCGATAGTGTGCTATGTCAAAATTAACATTTCGACGTCCCCTATCATTCCTCGAAAGCATGACCGACTTACAGAAATAACCCTGTATATCGATAAAATGATATTTTAAAAT